ATCATATTTAGAGATTGTGTGGATGATTGTTGGGGTGTTTGAATGGAGAGAAATGAGTTTGGCAGCAAATGTACCAAGACAGATTTTTGAAGCTTTTGGCAATTTTGTGATTTTGGTGATTTTGAATCAAGGTGTGAAAGAGTCAAGGCTTGAGCTTTCTCTGATTTTTAGAATCTATATTGTGTCTAAAATGAAGTGATGAGGGCTCCCTTTTATAGGCAAATGAAGAGAGGGGCAGATTTGGAGATTTCTTCACATGAAAGAAAGGTTTTACCCCTTTGGATCAAACCTCCACAAAGGGGTTTTCTTGGCAGATAGGTAAGCCCAATAGTCAATAAAAATGATGATTTTGAAAGGGATAAATGCATGCTAGAGGCATATCTTGATGGTTGTGGCAGATTTCACTTTACACCTCTTGCTTGGTTTAATCATTTTTAAATGCAAGTTGCAAGGCAACTTGCAAGCTTGGAGAATTCACTTCCTCTGTATAATCTTATCATTTCTAGGCTTCATAATCTCTAAATATCAGAAATAATATCATTCAAGGGCTGAGATTGGCCAGTTTGATCAAATGAATGATTTTCGAACTTTGGACAATGTGGGACTAAAGTGTAAAACCACCAACTTGCCATAACCATAACTTTCAGCTCACAAATCCTTTTGAGATGTGCTAGTACTTTTTAGAAAGCCCTCAAATAGCTCTAAAACATTCATGTTTTCACGAGTTTCAATTTCCCAAAGGAACTTGGCCAAAAAGTCTCTCAAAGTTGCTAAAAAATGAACTTAAAAGTGAAATTTCTCTAAGTCTTTTTTCCTTCTCAAAATGAATTTGATCATAACTCCAAATCTATGCATTTTATGATCATGGACCACTTAGGTACTTTTGTAGGGTTTGTCAAGAGCTTTCAAATGAGCTTTGAACCACTTCATTTGGATGTGTGGTTAAGGAGTTATGGTTTAGCCCCTTTCAAAACCCTAATTTCCCGATTTTTCGATTACTCCTTCATCCTTGATCCAATGGTCATGAAAATTGATAGGAAAGTGCAACATGATATAAGGAACATTTTTGATTCACACTTTGAAGTCCAATTCCTTAAATTTGAAGAGTTGACTTTCTGGTCAACCGTACGATCGATCGGTGACTACCGAGTCGTCTGTTGACACTCTGGACCTCCTGAGACTTTGAAACTTATTGAATGAACTTTATTAAGCTATATGAACTCCATGGATCATAATCCCACCATTAAAACACCTTCCAACATCAAAGTCAAACTACAATTGACTTTCACTAGTCAAAAATCCTAATCGGGTGCCCTGAAATACATTGTTCTTGATTCTGGGGTAACAACCTCAAGTTGGATTCTCAATTGGCATTATATGATACCCTTGCCCTTGTTTCATAATTGAATTAGCCTAAAACTTTGATTGGTCACAAACCCTGAAGTTTCGATTTGACTGTACCAAACCCTGATTCATCTGTAACTTGAAAAAGACAAGCTTGTACTGGGTTAAGGTTAGATAATTCATGAGTATGCTCCTAAAATGATAATGATAATCTAAGGGGTCAAAATTTGGGGTGCAACAGTTATCATAGGACTATAGGTGGAAGCAAGGTTGTCAAACTCGCGAGTCTACTCAGACTCGTAAAGGGTCCGTAGACCCGACTCGCAGACTCGACTCGCAAACTCGTACGAGTCTATGGAAAATTTAAAATGACTTTTAAAAACCTATATGTGACACATGCATGACACACACATGTACTTTAAACTTGTAAATACCTCATATATGATACAAATATATATATATATATATATATATATATATATATATATATATATATATATATATATATATATATATATATATATATATATATATATATATATATATATATATATATATATATATATATATATATATATATATATATATATATATATATATATATATATATATATATATATATATATATATATATATATATATATATATATATATATATATATATATATATATATATATATATATTAGAATACCGATTAACATCAAAATATAAATTTCATACTCCATAACAAAGTTCTTAATAAAAAAATTTCAACAATAAAACAAACAAAATAGTAAAGTATGTATTTAAAGACTTAAAGTATCAATTTCTTCTTAATTGACTACTACATAAAGCAAAAAATCATAAAACAAATATACTAATGGCTTTAAACATGCAAAACTCCAGTAAAATCATCACCATCATCTTCATCGGTATCTTGAGTATCATCATAAAATTCTATCCCGGATGAAACACCTTCTTCATCGTTAACCAAAGTTGGATTGCTTGAATTTCCATTTCCACCTAATTCAACATTTCCACCACCACCACTACTTTGCACAATATTAGTAACAACAATATCAACTTCCACAATATTGTTAACAATAATATCATCTTACTCAACATTAACTTTAGTTTACATATTTTCTGCATTAGGATCTTCAATTATCCATTTATCACCTTTACCCAAGAGAATATACAAGAGAAGCATCCAAGTAAAACATATAATAAAAATAATTACACAATAAATGATTGATTTACGGGAACGAACGCAAACAAACCGAGAGACATAATAAACGCACGTCATTTATTAAGGCATAAAGGGAGGAAGAAACTTTGCTAAAACAAGAGACTAGGAGAGAGACTTTCTAATCCTCGTACAAGCAAAAAGTAAAAGTTTTTTTAAATAAAATAAAATCTTTTGGGAAATTTGGGCCCTTTTTTGGGTTAAAAAAAACAAAATTCAAAAAATTTATAGACTCATAAACTCACCATGGAGTCGCGAGTCTATACGAGTTTATGCGAGTCTACCTGAGTCTACTCGAGTTTATTAAAAAAAGATTCTACGCGTGAGTCTACTCGTTTTCGCTTCATAGACTCGTAAACTCGTACGAGTTTACGAGTCTACCCGCGAGTTTGACAACCTTGGGTGGAAGACGAAGCAGGTTACCGGAAGCATCACACAACTGACGGTAATAATTATTTGTCTTTTAATGTTTCTGTTTCATTTTCATTTCATCTTTGTAACGTAATTACCGATGATTCGTGTGTTCCAAAATTTTCAGGCTTGAATCCTGCAGCACTTCCCGCGCATCTTCGATTGGACGAGTGTATTGACTTACAATGAGGAAATGTCGCGTGCTACTGCATTCCCCATCCCCCTCCCCCCTCAAAGGGAACCAGGAGACAGAGTCGTTCAAAGTGTACTATGACCGCTTGATTTCTAAGGACATACACTTCAACTGCTATGAGGATCACCATGAAATGTAACTATTTGACGAGATAGTGTTACACTCAGGATGGCCGCCCTACGGATCACGTCTCACTACTCCTCATCTTCTAGACCGCATCATGCAGTAGTTCGGCTACACACAGACTATTCTCAAACACCATGTGGTCTCTTTTCCTCCTACTTTGACACGTAGATAGATGGATAAGACGTTTGATGATTACGAGAGTCATCTGATATTGGAGGAGTCACGAAGTATCATAGTTAAGAGCGATTGGAGCTATGTCGACGGGTACATCAGATGGTTCTTCAGGGTGTCACATATGTATATGGTGCATGCTGCTTCAGGAGATCCGCTGAGGCCAACTCATCAGAAGATACTAGAGGAGGAGCAGTTAGATCATGTTGATGATGTCTTGCTTAGATGTCATCGCATAGTAGAGATTGCGTAGGCAGGCATTGAGAGAGGTATCTTCCTTAATGGGTCTGATGTGAGGCAGGTTCTAGAGGCCATTATGACGAAGGCATATGGGACATTTATGTACTAGAGGCAGCGCCGGAGGACGAGAGAATTGATGGTCGAAGAGGCAGATGAGATGTAATCTTGACATACACAAGAGTGTTTTTGTATATAGTAGTATATGGATTGTATTTAATTTTCACATCATGCCACTTTATCGTTGTTCTCAACTTTATTTATATGGTCTTTTTTAACTATCTGAATTTATGTCATTTTTTGCATGGTAGTTGTATGGTTTAAATCTCGTCACATAACATAGTACATAACGCTTCTAAATCTGCATCTAAATACACGTACACAAAACATAACATGAACTATTTTGTTCTTATATGTTACATTTTAACATTTAACTAGAATTTGGTACATCCGAAAATGCATCTTTAAAATTTAAAAAATATTTTAATATTTTCGGATGGTATATAAATAACATATAGTTCATTAAAAAATTCCTAAATTTTAAACTCATTCTTCAAAACTCTAACTCAATTTTGGTGGCCAGAACAAAGTGGGCGAGGGGTTGAAAAACTATCCTCCATTGACTCTATCAACACTTTTTCCTTTGAAAATAAATGTAATATAACTCTAAAATCTCTGCTATTCGTACGTATGAATTTCTACAAAATGAGAAGCGATTCAAATTCATTTTAAGTGATAATAAGCCAAATATATTTTTAATACGTATATTTTGAAAAATTCTAACCAAACTCAATCCTTGTAATATTTCTAGTTATAAATTTGTAAACAATTCAGGTGGCTCCATCCCACCAATACATACATGTGTTTACTGGAGCTACCTTTCTAGAAACCTTCAAACACTCTTCTTGTGCTCTCATATATCTTTTTTTTATTTTTATAAGACTTGTGCTCTCATATATCAATGTGAAGCAATAAGTACTTTTCCAGCATATCTGTGAAGCAATTAGTACATTTTAGCATATAACTTAGTGACCATATATCTCAAGGAAAAACCACAACATGTTAATTAGTGAGAACATGTTTGTTCTGATGTGAGAAGAACTAAGTGTTATTATCATCTTTACATCACAGCTTTGGTCTGGGGAAAAACAATCATAGTACAGTGAAAAACTGTAGGGAGATAGAACAGTTTATTCAAAAACAATGCTCTAATTAAATATGAAACAGCTCATATTTAGTTAAACAAACACGCATGTAAACTCGGTTATAAGAATACTACAACATACTTTTCTTCATGAAGTTCCGAGCTCCCTATTCAAGTAATCAATAAACATCCTTTTAGCACTATCAGAATCCGAAGGAGGAGCTCTCCCGCTCAAACTTGTTTGCCCTGTTAGTTTCATGAACGTCCGTCGCAACCTACGAAGCTCTGGCAACCCAACTGATCTTGAAAGATTGATTGGAGGCAAATCTTTCCCTATAGAAACACCATTAGCCGGTAGCATACCAAGATCACGAGATTGCGCTTCTGCAATAGCACTAGTAACCTCTTGCGTTGCTTTGTCCAGCTCATACAGAGAATTAGCATCGGAAAAACGTGAAGTTTGAGTTGCAATTGTCGGTTGCAATATCTTCACATCACGGGTTTTCGAGTCCACTTTTTTGGTAATGTAGGAAACAACATCATCTATAATAGAACCAAAATCAGAAGATCTCAACTCAAACAAAGGCGAATCCCACCGGTTTCTTCTCTCTGGTTTCTCAAACCTCCTCACCAAATCTTCAAATATTACATCATCATAACCATCTCCACCTTTCTCCCTACGCTCTTGATTCCATTTTCTACAATCGCTATCTTCAACATCACAATAAACAACACAGTATCTAATCCCCGCAGCACGAGCCAAACACCATAGCTCATATCGATAACCCTTGATGCTATTCAAAGAATCAACAATAATAACAGTATCTTTTGACAGAGACCTATCCACTTCTGACCTAAGAACCCCTCTTAAATTCTTCTCCGATGGCATATTCGCATAAATCTGATTCCGATCAAGATGAAAACAAGCTTCATCTATGATTCTCACTTGATGTTTCAAGTCCGGTGATTGTCTAAGAGCTTCAGCTAGAGTTACTGCAGCTTTAGATTTTCCACTGCATGGTTGACCACAGATTACTACCAGTGCCATTCGATTTTTATTTTTTTCGTGTAACTCTCAATTAATAAAATGATATCTCTTCAAAAATACTACCTGCAATAGATTGAAACATAAGCTATTTCTATAATAAAAGATAAAATACAGTTAAACTTGGTTTTTTTTTTCCTTTCTAATAAGCTATAATCTGTTTTCAAAAGCTATTGTGTAAATAAGCTGAAAAACGTGTTACGCAACTTAAATAAACCAATCGAAACAGTAGTCAAGTTCCAGAATAGCTATTCAATCACATCTAAAATTCTTCAGTAACCGAATCAAAATCAAAATCAAATGGTTACAGAGATTAGGGCTAGGTTAGGATCAGCTTCGATTTCGTTGAGAATTTCTCAAATGAAATAATTGTATTTATGCTATTTCAGATATGAAAAAAAATGAGAAAATTTATATAGAAAAGAACCCTAGAGAAATTTCTCACTGATTGTGGCGGCGAAGAACTTGCTCCGGATGGATTTTGCTCTGAATTGCTGTGATTTCTCTCGGGAAGTTTGTGTGAAGGTTGGGAAGGAGGCAATTAGGGCTTTTGAGGGAGAGACGACAACTTTAGTTATTTTATTTTATTGTTGCGAGTTTAAAATTAGAATAATTTTTTTAAAAGAATAACCTTTTTTTTTTTATACACCATTTTTTCCAACTTAAATTTTTAAATAATCGTATTATTCAATTATATATTAAAATACTCGTATTTAAAAAAAATTGCAGCAAAAAACATATGTCAGATCAATAAGTGTCTATGGTATGGCTTATGTATGGCGTTATATTCACGGTGTGTGCATTTGCTATATGCTAATTGGTTTGGCGTTAATATATATATTTATTTATTTTATTTTAAAAAAAAATTTACAATTAAATAATAATAAAAAATTGAGAAATTAAAAAGTTAAATACTAATATTATTTAATTTAAATAGAATTACATGTGATAAAATTTTGCACACATATTTTAACGACCCACTTGATCATAACGGTCATCGGTTCCATACCCCTGCGGTGTTTTTTGTCGTTGAAGCCTCCCATGATTCACCTAAAATGTTTGGTGTCTCCTATGATTCACCTAAGGTGTTTGGTACTAGGTCCCTGGGATATCAATTTCATCCACCCATCCTCACATCTTTTCCCAAGTCAACATAGTTTGGCCATGTTGGTTAGGTTACGTGTGTCCGTGTTAGTTGGTTGAATTGGAACTGATTCGTTTTAGAAAGAAAAAAAAAAAGCAATGGTTGTCATGGTGTTTGGTAGGCATGTGTTGGTTGGATGCTTTGGTGAGGTGATATTTGGGTGCTTTAGTGGTGTGATGTTTTAGTATATGTTGGTTGGGTGTTGTGGTAGGAAGTGGTGGTATCATATGCCTTTTTGGTGTTATGGTAAGATGTGGTGGCGGCATATGTTTGTCGGTGGTATGGGTCATGTTCTTAGTTTTGTGTTTGGGTGTGTGACATGTATTGGTCGCGAATTTAAGTGTATGTGGTTTGCTAATGTTGTCGGGTTGGTTGTTAGGTGTAGGTAGGTTGGTAATCATGTTGGGTTGGTTGTTGGGTAAGGTGGGTTGGCCATTTTGTTAGGTTAGTTGTTAGGTATAGGTGTGTTAGTAATCATGTTGGACATTTGATGACGAAGCTCATTGGTGTGGGTCGATCAAATACCTTGTTTCAGATACAAACTGAGATGTTGTAACCGATCTATACCAATTCATATAATTATGAGTCAGTTTAGATTCGGATGGCATGGCAAGTTTGTTTATGACTTGCTGATGACAACACTTCCACTGACGGCATGCATCTTTAGAGAAGTCTTTTTAATCGAGAAATTTATATTGAGCATTGACTCTAAGTTGATACCATTGTCCTAAACACGTCAGGGAATCTAGGATTTGATGAGTCATGCCTAGCTGCAGTTTGATACAGTCACTATGTGTTGGCTAGGATTTTGACACTCATTAATGTTGGAAGTAAGTTAGAGTTTTCAAGGTCATGTCCTGAAGAAGAACACGGTGAATTCAACAACAAACTGTGACAAGGATGTTTCGCCGGTAGTGAAGATTTGAAATGGACTGCTGGAGTTTGAAGAATCATTTTTGAGAAATTATGCACGTTTCGACAAGGAAATGGTGAAGATCTAGTTGAAGAAATCTTTGTATAGAAGACACTATGATCTAAAACTTAGAAGAATTTTAGCTTATATTGGAGTCCGACTTAGTTAACTTGGAGAAGCGTTTTGACCGATGGAATTCAAGTAAGGCTGGTAACTACCTTTTAGCCTTATCCATTTCTCAAGACACATAGAGGATTTTGAGGCAACGAATTGCATGTTGTGTGGAATGTGACGCACTCTGGAAAAATAATCGTTAGATGACGGTTATTTTTCATTTAGTATAAATAGAGCACTTAGCATTTAGAATATGTGTGTTCAACAATTGTACAAAACTCTACATTTTACTCCCAGTACCTGCGTGTGAGAAAATAGTGCTTTTGAGATAATGTACGTTTGAATACCTTTTCTTTATAATCAAATTCATTTAAATTTCAGTCGTTTACCTTTACTTGCAATTTATTTACTTGTCATTTATCTTCAATTAATTTACATTTTTGCAATTTACATTAATTTCCTTACTTAAAAGAAATCACAACGTCCTCTTAATAACTTTGGAGAATATTTGAAGAATATTGTATAAATGTTCATGATCATTAAAACCAAAAACTAAATAACAACACATGTCCTAGGATCAATCTAGTTGATCCTGTAAGTGACCAAAGACTTAGTAACTTTGGAGGGCTAGCGTTTGTTTGTCATTTTCGACAGTAAACACTATGGTGTATCTCTACAGTAGTGAACCTGATGATTGTTGTTTTTGCAGTCCAAACGACAACATCTTCGTGGTTAATTTCATGGTCCATACTCAAATATGGCCTTCAAATAAACTGTAAAGGAAAAATATATTATTAGATTATTAATGTTTAATATTAAAACTAAATGGATCAAGTCCCTCTCAAGTTACTCAAAACTCTAGATGTTTCAAAAACACATATTCATCGTAGGCTTGAAAATCAAATAATAAACATACACATTTCTTTTAATAATCATGTTAGACAAAATGAAGAAAGACTTAAGAAGAAAACAAGAAGAAGTGTGAAAATGGTGGAGAGTGAATGACTTATTTATTAAAAAATGGAAATACACATATGTGTCAAACCTACTGGCGCCTCCTCTTTGTTGCCAATTGAATTGGTGTCAATTGGATTGGTGCATGGGTGGTGCAGTCGCCACTTTGGCCGGCGCCTAAGTACAGTTTTGAGAGCATTCTCCAATTGATGTGGCGCATGCTCTTTGCTGCAAAAAAAAATTGTTTGAAACATGAGTAGTTTACTATATAGTTTGGAAAGATGGTTATTTTGGAAATTCAGTTGAAAAATTGGTTACTTTGAAGGAAAAAATCATATATGTCATGTCAATTGACTATAAAAATTAATCTCAAATAATAATTAGTTCAATTCAATGTTTTAAGAACCGAAATGGGTCGGTCGATTCAATCAATTGAACCAGAAACTGAACATGATTCCGGTCCAAATATCCTTAAAAATTATGGTCAATTAAACGGGTAAAAACAGGATCAGATCGCCCATAATTGAAAAAATCAGTAAACAAGACGCATAAACTTGGGTTTCTTTGCTTTATAGCAACTCAGCTCCAACCGCACCCATCATAACAATTTAGAATTAATATTTACTTACGTCAATTTTTGTGTGTTCGTTAATTTTTTTTTTTTTTATGTTTATTGATATAAGTAGAGATGATGAATGAGTTCTTATATTGTGAAAATTTCATTTAACTATAAATTTTATTCCTCTTAAATTTTTATAGATACTCTCTTTTCTATCTTTTTGAAGATTTTTTTTAGAGGTTTTTATCCTATTAATTTTGTAATTTAAGTGAAAATGGAATTTGAAATGTTGGCATAACATACTGTTGAAGCACGTTAGGTGAAAACTCATTCTCATTATTGTGTAGAATAGTTTTCTCATTACATTCAAAAGAGAAAGCTTTAGCTTATATAGCTTAAGGCTTCTATGAAAAGAAAAAATACAGTTGAGATAACCAACTGCCTAAACAAGCTTCTAAGAGAAAAAGAAAGTGGGTCTTTAAAAGAGCTAAACAAACTAGAGAGGGCCCAATACACTTAACACCCCCTCAAGGTGGACTGTATATGTTACAAAGTCGTAGTTTGGAAAGAATAGAAAGCAAAGCATGAACGTGTAAAGGCTTAATTAACATGTCTGCTAACTGATTGTTGCAAGAAACAAGTAAAAGATGAAGAAGTTTGGAGTTAATCTTCTCACGAATAACATGACAATTAAGCTCAATATGCTTTGTTCTTTCATGGAAAGTAGGATTTTGAGCTACGCAGATAGCACATATTGGCTATCACAATAAACAGAGAGACAGGAGAAGAGAAATGAATTTGAAAATCCTTGAACAGGTTGTGTAACCATTGTAACTCACATGTGAGGGATGCCAATGATCTGTATTGAGCCTTTATAGAAGATCTAGATACAATATGTTGCTTGTTTTGTTTCCAGCATATCAAATAAGAATTAAGGACGACACAAAACCCTGTAACATATTTTCTTGTGTCAAGACATCTAGCCCTACTAGAGCCTGCCAAGGCAAAGAGTTTAAGAGTATTGGTAGGTAAGAAGAAAATTCCTCTAGAAGGAGAAGATTCAAGGTATCTTATAATGCGTATGGCTTCATCATAGTGTGGTGTGAGAGGTTTAGAAAGGACTTGGCTAAGATGTTGCATTACAAAGGAGATATATGGCCATCTATTTGTGAGATAAATTAGTCTACCTATGAGTCTTCTATAAATGGTAGGATCAACAATAGGAGTGCCTTCAAAAGTAGAAAGTTTGAGTGAAGGGTCAAAAGGAGTGGCAGAATTTTTGGAAACAAGATGTCTTATGTCTTATAACTACTAAAAAGTATAATGTCTCTGATTAAAGAAGATACATGAATTGTTTATAGTAATTTCAAAACCCAAGAATTATCTCAATGCACCTAAATCTCTGATTTTAAACTTGTTATCGAAGGCTTATTTGACAAAATTGATTTCACCTTCAGAGTTTCCAGTTAAGACTACTTCATCCACATAAACAAGCAATGTAGTAAAATCGTGTGAAGATGACTTTGTATAGAGAGAGTGATCAACTTTAGAGTATTTAAAATCAATAATACCACTGTCTGCTTTCTTATTTTAGACCATAAAATTATTTATAGAGCTCACAATTAAGTTTAGACCATAAAATATATTTTAAACTCAATTAATTTGGAAAAAAAAATTAAGTTTACTTAAGAAACATGTCAATATTACATATACGTTTGGCTCATCCAATATATTCAATACACTTTCTCTGACACAAAATTTATCCTCATTTTTCTGCAAATTTTGAATAAAACTAGTCATACACTAAAGATAAATTGCATCCGATATAATTTATCTAGTTCTAGAGTGATGGAATCAAGAGCCTTTCCCATTGCACAATGTTTGGCCGTATTGAACATTAAATCCCTCAAGTCCACATCATTACAATTTCACAAACATGCCTCCCAATGTTGTTCCTTGAATACTTGGAAGATTTGCATATCAACAACCACCATTTGTGTCATTTTTTGGTTATAATGTAAGTTTTCACATATCAGAGACAGACCAAAGATAAGCCTCTTTGTCTTTAGCTTGTCTCTCATTTGTTCTCTTGAACATTCCCTTCTCAAACCCTACAAGCAAAAGTCAATAATTTAGAACAGTTTTCTGATATTTCTATGACAAATATGAATAGAAAATCCATGTTTAAAAAAATACTGCTAATATGTAACTAACCATTACTACGATCAACACCATCCCAATGTCGTCCCGGCCTAATCCCATAGCGATTTGGAGCAGCATCTAAACCCCTCTTCAACCAGCTGTGATCAGGAATATCTTGAGGGACAACAAAACCAGATGCCTTCATTTTATCACTATCCCCCAAGTTTGGAAGAACCGGCTCAGGATATTTCTTCTACACAAATGATAATTGACACGGAAAAAAAAACATTTCAGTCATCAGAACATATCAAACTCCTTCGATCATAAGTGGCCGGCACTAAGAATTGTATTACATTACCTTTACTAGATGTGCCATAGGATCACCCCATCTTATCCTCTCCTTCAACGATTTTTCAAGCTCGGGATCATCTCTATAAGAAAACAACAAATGCAACATAAGAGTTAGGGTAAGAGAATGAAAAACGAACATTCAAAGACAAGAGTACTTGTGGAGATTAAATACACGGCACTCGAGAAGAAAGTAATAGGTTACTACAGTAATAAGATAACAAATTTAGACAGTCCATAACACTAATTTCTTTCTGTATACCTGGTCCGCGCAAAAGGCTTTTCCTTCTCAACTTCTAGTTCTTTTTGCTTAGCCTCAAATTCCCGTTTTTGAGCCAACCCCTTTCCCCATTCTATTTCAATCTCCTGGAAACCAAGATAGCCAATAACTCAACTTGCCATTTTTCTTAGGAAAACAGGAATAACATTAATGTTAAAGAATCTATACAAATAACTTTCATACTTCAGTTACAGCATAGGAACAAAATGACTAATACAGATGGTTTCTTATCCTCTAGATGCAATTATCTTTCAGCGAACATGTGTACAAGGAAAAGCTAACTTATATTATATCTCAAATTCATCATCTTACGCTAAATATTTTGATTAAAAAAAAGAGACTTTAAGAGATTTAAAGTGAAAGAAAAAGGATGATGTGACCATATTTGATTAAATTTTAAAAGAGACTAAAAACACAGGAAAATGTAATTAAATCAAGAATATTCATATTTTGAACCTTTATAATATGCAGCCCATTGCATATAGAAAGCTACAGCCATATAAAGAAACACAGTGCTAGACAAAATATGCAGTACTCAACATACCTTGGGCTTTTCTTCTACTTTCTGTTTTGACTTTAAGTATTCCTCTTTGGTAATGCGTACTCCTGCAAAACTCAACTTGATTCAATAATTCAAGTTATTGTAAAATTCAGCTTTACCCAAAAGAAAATGGGTATATATTTACAAGAATTGAAAAAATATATTTACAAATATACATGTTGAGCAAATATTCATAAATATATCATGCGATCAAACAAAATTGGCTAAACCCTTAAGCTTTTGCTTTTCCCAGTGAAGTCGTCATTTCTGTTGCAGTGAGAATCGTGATACCAAGCTATTGATTAACTTGAATCTTAATTTTTAAAATTCACAATCGGTTTTTAATTTATCCAAAGGAAAAGTCTAAAGAACGAAAAACCCTTTTCGCGATGTTACAACAACGCTAAGAGATTCGGGGATCGGGGGTTGGTTATGCCTAGGGTAGGTATTTCACATCCTAAACATCTGTAGTACTCTACAGGAACCTTTGTTTGTTTGTATGCTAATACTTGTTAAATGTTTGCTTATGGTTTGAGATTGGGTAAAAAGGGCAAAGGGTGAAGACCTAAGGATAGTTTCTAAGTTTGTTCGCAAAGATATCGCATCTTCTACCTACGTATCCTTACTAAGATAGAATCAGAGCAATCGTAGTTCACTTCACTAGGGATGAAGAACACTTGATTATGGTCAAGGTTCCAAAGGGAACAAACATCACAATGCTTGTATAGAGTTTATCCCAACTCTCTAGATCTACATTATACACTCAAGAAAGGGGAGTAAGTAATCATTTCCATGATTCTTACATAGAGTTAACCAAACTCTACCTATCTCTATGGGTCTTTTAGACTTAAGCAAAGTCCAATGGCTAGGGTTCTAACTTAACTAAGTTAAGGTTCAAAATTACTTCACAAAGTCATGGGGGTAATGAGCTATCTATGACACTAGGGTCAATAGAAAGACTTTTTCTTTGGAAGGGATGAGATGAGGAAACTTGGATGAGAACTAAAGAGTTTCATCACTTGGGGAAGAAATACTTAACAAAGCAATAAACATTCACACATGATGAATACAAGAGGCATGGTTACAACCAAGCAAACAAGCATATATTACAATAAGCAAGGATTTCAATCAAGATAAATGGTTACAACCAAGAATCATGTATCTTAACAAAGGTGAAGGTAACAACCCAAGAGAGACATATTATCAAATATGAAGGTTACAACCGTGCAAACAAGTCACAACTTAAGGTAAGCATGCCATAGGTCAAAGTGTATCAAATGTAACAACATTAGACATTGATGACAATCAAATACAAGCAAGCATGCAAGAAATGTTACAACAGTTCAAGCTCAAAGTTTTAGGAGGAAAATATGTAAGTCCATGGTAACAACCAAAGGCAAACAAGCCCTAACATGTTAACTAACACATGGGAATCAATCACAAACAAATCTTACAAGATAAGTCAAGCATGGTTTAAGAGAAATTCAACAAGATGCAAGGTAACGATCCTAACAAGGAACCAACTTTCAAGTAGGCAAAAGGCATTATGAATATGAACAACTTGAAATCTTTTTTCATCACATGAAACTGGACAATGTCATGAACATTTTTCAAAAAGGATGAATCAAAAATAATAAAGCATGCAAAAGTTATGAATTTTTTGAATTTGTGAAGAAAATAGGAAATAACAAGTGATAAAAATAATGGAAGTGCCATGACAAGGATTTAACCCACGCTCTCACATTTACCAACCCAAAACCTTACCATTCATCCACTAAACGCGCGCATTGGCAAGGAATGGAAGTGCAAGAAGAAAATATTAAAACAAAGCAATTGAAATAAAAACAAAAGAGTTGATCTCCACCCGGATCAAACTCAGGACTGGTAGGTACAAAGGGTATAAGGCGCGCAAGTTACAACCACTGGGGTGGCGATACATCCGTGTATTTAGCCACCCCAATTAATACAAAAGGTATCTTTTTGAAATATTTCTGGGCCAGGGCAAGGCAAATACAAGTGATAATGCAAAAACGGTTTGATCCATAACTTTGTCAAAACTTAGTCTTTTTTCATGAAATTTTAGTCTAAGTTGATTGATTTTTGATGAGGATTAGGATGGTAACAACCATGTTGTGAAATGAAGTTCTCAATTAAAAACACGATGGCAAGTGCAATTTGGCATGTTAAAATGCAATTTTGAAATCAAAGCATGTATTGAGTTTATACAGACCAAGCAAACATCACACACAACCTTCAAATATGATAACTAAAGTTTCTATCCTCATGGCTCAAGTTAAAACACCTTAAAACAAGAATGGATATGATGTTGGCAAGCAATGACTGAAAATGCAATTCTGTTTTGGAAAATGAGTTTAAATGCAACATGGTACATGGCATGAACAAGTCAGTTAGCATCAAACACAAGTCCTAAACATGTTAAATATAGGTCTTATGCCCAAAGATCAATCAAAATCAGCTTAACACAGAAATTGGTATGCTAGCAGCTATGAAATGCAAAGGCAAATTGATTATGCAGCAAGAGAGGTCATGTCATGAACAAAACAATTTCAGGTTATGCAAACACCATACACAAGCCCTAAACATGCTAGCTAATAATTCTATGCTCAAAGATCAATGAGAAACTTCCTAAAACAGAATTTGGTATGCTGTTGCAAACACATAGTTGAAAGTGTAAAAATGATTTGGAAAATGTAGGACAGGCTAGCTCATGCTAACATCACACATCAATTCTAAATATGTTAACCAAAGGTTCTAGGCTCAAAGATCAGTTAGAAACATTTTATAACAAAAACTGGTATGCTAATGGCAAATGCAGGGCTGTTTTGAAAAATGGAAAGCAGGTTAATGATGCAGCAAGGTACTGGTTATGTAATAACAATCATCAATATTCTAAGACAACAAAGATACAACATGTTATGGCATGATTCATGGTGAGTACAAAAACCTTAACAGCCACTTTCACAACTTCATTTCAAATAGGGCATTTTGCAAAATCTTAACAAAGATTAGATGTCAATAGTAGCATGATGTAGCATTTACAAACTAGAAACAGTCATAGTTGAACACCAATACTCATGTGCTGGACAGAACTGACTTTATTCAAATATACATACCAAACATGAAACAAGACCAACATTTTTCTTTTCACAACAGTTAACACATGGAATGATAGCAAGTCAGTTTGACACACAATGGCATATATTGCATATTTTTCACATGAATACACATCAGTAATGCAGCAAACTTGATCAAGGCATACACATACATATTTCACAATAATTGTCCTATGCTAGCAGAGATCAAACACTTCAAAAATCATGTTAGGCACAAGCACATAAGATGCTCAGAAACAAGCCAAAATCCTATCTTGAACTAAACAGCACCATTGGTAAAATGTTCATGACAACAAACTTGATATTCCAACCAAAACAGGCTCAACAGCTGTGAACTGAAAAACTCCTAGAGTTCAAACATGACCTAGGTGCAGAGATACATCATGAAATGGTTGACAAACACCTAAACATGATATGATCAAGACAAGCATGAAAAACTGGCAGATTTGCATATAAGCTACATTTTGCATTTAAGCACCAAGCATGGCAAATGAGTTTATGACAGAAATAAAAAGGATAGTGACCACTAACCTCTTGTAGACCTCCAAACAAGTATGTTGCAGTAAGGAATGCCTTGAGGAAGCTTCAACTGTTGTCCAGCTCTACCTTGATGGAAACAGCCCTTGCTTGCACTTGAAGTAATTTGTGATAAAACTCAAAATAAATGAGGATTGTGTTGTTTTATGTCATGGACAGTTGATACATCATATATCAAGGGTGTGTGGATGATTAGAATGGTTAAAACAGGTCTGGACAGAGATTTGCTTGAGTTTGTGTATAAAGTCAAACTTGGTTTGGTTGAAAGTTAACTTTTGGGAAAATGATGATTTTGGGTGGTTTAAGAGTATGGACACCTTCTATACATCATTTGTGGATTGTGTGGATGGTTTTTGGTGAGTTTGAATGGGTGAAAATGATTTTGGAAGATGTTTTGCTTCAAGGCAGATTTTTGGTGTTTTGGATGATTTTCTTCACTTGTAAGAAAATGCAAAGCAAAATGAGAGCAAGGGTTTTCTCTTAGGTTGTAGAGTTCTCTGGTGTGGTTTTTAGAGTGTGAGGATGTCTCTATTTATAAGCCATGAGAAGCTTGGGGCAGATTTGGTTTTTCCACTTTTGGAGGGAAATTTTGAAGAAATCTTGCCAAGATCTCATGG